TTGAGAAATAATAAAAAAAAAATATGGGAAAATTAAAACCCATTTTGTCCCTATTCTCAAGAATCACTGTAGCCATGAATAGAGTAAGTCAATGTAACACAACATGCTAGTGATACCCCACATGCCACTGGCAGTATTTAGGCTAACATTAGCATTTTGGCTAATTTTAGCTTATCCACTAGTTTTAACATATTGAATGAACTATGTCCATGTTAGTCAATATTCTTGTGATTCTCCACATGCTATTAAAATTATTTTAGCTAAGCTTAGCATTGAAATTTTTAGCAGCAGAATGTTGGGTTCAAACCGACGGGCACACTTTGGTAGGCCCTGTTTAAATTTCTTCAGAAATGTTCTAGTTCTATCTAGTCTCGTGCAAGATTCTTGTGCGTCTTATGCCTGTAATTTGGTGAACACAAGTGTTTAAGTTAAATAAATATTTGTTTGCATTTTGGCTCTCCCTTGCCTCCGCCTTCACCAATCCTGACACTTTATATACATCTGTGGTCAGGAGCCCACTATTTCATGGGTTAAAAGAGTTATTTTTATATAGTGTTATATGTTATGTGTTAAAGGTGAGTTGCATATGTAACACCCTTCACATCATGTCCCCCTCGTGGGGACGGAAAAAAGTTAAGGCTCTGGATTTTTTTCCACTATCAGCCCTGAACCAAACCCACCAAAAGAAATAATTCCTATTAGAACAGCCTTCTGCACAAGCTGAAGCATACTACGAAAGTGAAGGTCAACACAGGGTAATATGATGAGTGATGGGTATCTAAATAGCTTTGGAACATATGATTAATCGCTTTTGGAGGACACCCATCCACACAGAGACTAGATGTGACTAAACAATTTAAGCACCTTTTCAGATTAATGTAAGACGGTGTGAACTCATTGTCAGCACAGCTCTGTCTGGGTGATTTATTTACCTCTTCCAGTCGTTGTTGCTACAGACAGGTGGTCCGAGAATGAACAGCAACAGGTGTATAATAAAGAAAAAGATAATAAGTGTAAGACTTAAAAAGAGAAGACAAAAACAAAGAAGTGGTGACATTCTACTATTGACATTTTGGACTTGGATAGTGTCTGGTCAGGAAAATGGGGATTCCTGTTTTGCAATGAAAAAGATGTCCAGAAATAGATTCAAAGAGATTATGACATTTATCCATTTTGATAAGAAGTAAAGTCAACATGCATGACTGTGTGATGCCTCCACCAAACAGCAGGTGGTGCTGTTCTCAACAATTGCAGTACTGTGCAAAAAGAAGAATATGAATTCTTAAAAATGTGGACATGGGTGTGGTCATCATTGATGACCGAAAGCAAAGCTGGAGTCTGTCCAGTATTACAATGACAAAAATACAGTATAAACATTCTCAATCAGATGACAAGAAAAATGCTTAGTAAAGGACTGCACATGGATGTTGCCCATTGTCTTGTTTTATAACAACCATGTTCTGTTCCAGACGTTCTGCAGCAGGGAGATGATTGAGGATAGACAGTCATGAAGGCAGGTGGAACATGATGGAAGTCTAAGCCGTCAAGACTCAAAAGTGCAGCAAGCTCAAAAAGGAGGCAGTTTTTTTGGATTACAATTCCAGGTTTTGGTGCCTGGTCTGCTGGTTCAAGGGATGTTTATGGGGAGGGAGTGGGGCGTTTCTTAACTTTATATGTAAATATTTTTACAAGATGATTCACAGACTCAGACATTTTGCTTACTGACCTTTTTTCTCTCTTGTGCCTCAGTATTGAAAAAGAAGCACTCTGCGTACTGTGGAGATATAAAAGAAAAAAGTTGGACTGAATGTTTTACAAAGATCAGCATAATTTGATAAAGATAAAACTTAAAGCAAATGATATACTGAAAAAATATTACAGCTCTCAGCAAGACAATAATCTCAGTGTCAATTAAAAAACATGGTAAAATTATAAATGGGTGACATTTCTATATTGCCTTATCAGGTCAGAGGACTTCAAACCTCTTCATACTCCAATCAGTCATTAACCTGTTCACACAATGATGATGTGAGCTACATTGTACTCACAGCTACTGTGGGGTAGACTGACAGAGACATAACTGTCATTCAACTGGCCCTACTGTGCCCTCTGACTACCCAAGGTCACAACGACAGAGATGGACAGGGCAGGGGTTCAAACCACCATTTACAGGATGAACAGCTGTATTCATTCACTTGATTAATTTTGTCACAATATACCAAAATTATCTTGGTATTTGGAAGTAGAATGACTGTTCAAACAGCAGCAGCAGGAGTGGAGCAGAGAAAGAGAAGCAATGAATGCTCCAACATGTTTGTGGACGATATGAAGTCAGACATGGAGCCGATCAACTTGGTGCTCCTGCAGACATTTCAAACATTCCTCTAGGCATCGGCAACCATTCTCATCGTGCCTTGCACATTGTTACAAAAGAAGGAAAATGTCTCATGCCAAATTGAGGCAGTCGTCATGGCAACTATGAATAACCTGGGTATTGTAGTTGTCCAGTAAGAGCTGGACAGCGTCCTGGTCTCCGAGGCTGATGCTCTGGATGATCTTCTCCACGTTGGGTGCCATGCCTGAGCGTCTGCTGCAGAAATATTCAAACTTATTTCCTGTAATCAAGAACCAACACTGAAGTAATCACTTTACGCAAGTGTCTTTATGTATGCACTTACATAAAGGCTCAGCAATTATAAAAGTAACTTTTACATAAGTGTTTTTCCAAATTTTTTCAGGCTGACAGTCACCCATCGAACAAACCCTCCCAGACAAACTAACTTGAAATTTCTCCTCAACAACCCATCTTAATGTATACAAACTTAAATGAAAATATTAGCATCTTAACACACTTGTTGTTTTCATTGTTCACCCATGCTGTTTTGTAAATAGGATCGGCCAAGTCGACTCTGGGTGTTTTGAGTTATTTAAATATTTTGAAAGTGCGGATTTTGAGCTTTCCAATGACATCAAACACATGGAGATCAAAAAAGAAGTTGTTCTTTACTACCAAGTGTTATGTCCATTTATAGCATTTTACGGCTATTTGCACAATAACAGAAAAATAGATTTTAGTTGCTTTGACAGACAAAAAAGTCATTTCCTGCTCTATTAAATGTAAAGTTATCAACCAGTTTCTATCAGTGGTATTTATGCATTTAAATTAATGCATTTAATTAAATAATTTTTTAATTAAATAAAAACAATATCTGTTGTGTGAGCAGAGCCATATAAGCAAACAAAGTCGTAAGAACAAAGAACAGTTCTCATTAACTGAGAGTGGAGACCGTTCAAAAGATTCGAACACATCAGCAGGTTTAACTTTTTCTGGTGTTGTTTTCTTTCCAGCAGTATCTTCAGCTTTTATTTTATGTGACCTGGTCTTAAACCATTTATCCATAATTATTTTTAAACACAATCCTTTGGTAAGCCAATTGTATGCATCGCACTTTTATGGAGGACCAAAACCGACATAATAAGAAATAAGAGAATAAATATATAAATGAAAGAAGAAATATACCCTGCCAGCTAGGTGCTGGCACCGCCCACATGGGCCCTATATGGGCAAACCCATGTGGGGCCACCATGGAAACCGTGGATAAACCCATACGGGACCCATATTGTCTGCCTTCCTTTTCCCCATATGGGGCCCACCTAGGTATGCTGGCTGGGATATATCCAAGATAATAAGAAATAAAATAATAAATATATAAATAAAAGAATAAATATATATTTTGATAAGAATTAAAAGCATAAATATATATTTTGACAAGAAATAAAAGCATGAATATATATATTTAGTTTCAATTAAGGTTCATTACAAAATATTCTTGTCTCAAAGACAATTTATGATTCTAAATCTAGATAATTCGGTTACCTTACTTCAAAATGGGAAATAATATGTTGGAAAAGGAGTAATCACATTTCAGCTTTGGTTCAAAACCAGATAGCATTTATTATAAGACTGTTTCATTTAGTTTAACATTTTTTATTTTATTTTCATTTTTATTAATATTATTGTTGTTTTTATTTTTCTAATAAACTAACTTACTAACTGAACTAACTACTGCTTTTGAAACACATGCGTGTCTTGGTAGAAAGGCACAAATTGGATAGGATGAAACTTTTAAAGTGGATATGATAGTAATTGATTATGTAAAAACAAACTGATTGGACAACAACTGGCTCACAACATTTGTGTGCCTTAAATTTCGATTGACTGGATACATAAATTCAGGTCCAACAGAACATTTGATTTGAAGCGCAAAGAGATCTTACAGTCCTGCACAATCTGTGTCTAAATTTTTCGCTCCTCTGCCTAAATTGATAAATTTTTCTTTTGTCGGTTCAAACAGAACATTGACACTGCCTTTTAGGAAAGCAATCCAAATTCTGATCTGAACTCTTTAAAATAATAAAACTTTTGGCCATTGCAGTACAGTTTCAGTTGGACATTTTAGAAATATGTACAGAAAAAGAGTCTGAACAATATTTCTGATAACAATAGAAATGTTGTTGTCAGAAATGTTTGTTTTCTATTTACATAAGAAAACAAAAGGGGGAAATGGTAAATGATAAACATAAAACATTTCTGATAAAACTTTACATTTAAAACATCTCATAGTCTATTTTCAATTCTAGACAGAAGATTTGGAAATTGCTTTAAAATTTTAAAAATTATATCAACAGGGTGTGAAGAAGAAATAGACTCTAGTTCCCAGTTGGTGTATAGATATGGTTAATTATGAATTTATTCATTTGACATTGGTGTATTGTGAGATTATTTAATGAGCTCTTATACAGTGCCTTCCTGCATGACTGAAATACAGAGTCATATAGAAGATCTTACTAAATTAAAATTGGTAATGTAAAACTGAATAGCTTCAATCAATATCTATGCCATGTTTATTTAAATATTCATGAATTTCCTGCATCACCTCTAATTTTAATTGTATAAAGTTACAGTTGGATATAATTGTTATCATTAAGAAAATTTTGGTTAAAAGTACTATAAAATTCAACGGAAACCCTTAAGGCAGGGGTGTCAAACTCCAGTCCTCAAGGGCCGGTGTCCTGCAACTTTTAGATGAGCCTCTGCTGCACCACACCTGAATAGAATAATCAGGTCATTAAGGCTCTGGACAACCGATCTACACAAGGAGGAGGTAATTAAACCATTTCATTCCAGCGTTTTGAACCTCTGGCACATCTAAAAACTGGAGGACAGCGGCCCTTGAGGACTGGAGTTTGACACCTGTGCCTTAAGGGGACACAGAGAAAAAATCAGATAAAATGTGAACAACTTTTTAAATTCTAAAGAGAAAACTACACATAAATACATTTGAATAACCAATTAATGAAAAGTGTATGTAACTGGAAATACTAAATTTTGTTAAAATTTTTAATAATTTCTTAGAGTTTAATTTTTGAAAGAAGTTGATTCCACAATCGGTTAATTCTGAAACA